AGTGTCCCCTAGTAGTGCCTGCTGGAGCGGGGGGCAGGGCCACCGGTCACCCCCGATCAGTACTCACTGCCTGTCACTCTAACCTGGGGTGGCCGATGGCAGAGCTGGGGCGGGGTCTCCCAACCCCTGGGGCCCGTTCCTGCCCAGTGTCCTTGGAAGGCAGGTGCTTGGGTCCAAGAAAATAACCCAGTGCCTTGAGGTTTCATGTTGCTTGCCCGTTGAGTTCCAGACTCACTTGGAAGCCATAACGCTCCCACCCTCCCTTCTCCCCCTCCTTCCTTCCTTCTCTCCCTCCTTCCATCCTTCCTTCTCTGCTCCCTCCCTTCCTTTCTTCCTTCCTTTTTTCTTTCCTTCCCTCCTTCCTTCCTTCCCTCCTTCCCATTTCTACCTTTGGGAGTGGGACCATCTATCCCATGCCTGCCTGACTATTGTATTTTGGAAGCACACAACCTGTTTGATTTCACAGATTCCCCGCTGGAGGGAAAGTTGCCTGGGGATGAATCACGCCTTGAGTCTCACCCATATCTGATTTAATAAAGGGAAGGAGAAAAACAGGCTTTGAGAACTGCTCAGCAGCAGGAAAAATGCCCACGATGTAATACAAAGTGACAAAACAGAGCTCGAGCGGCGGGGTGAGGACAGGCCCCAGGCCAGCCGTGTTTTCTGCGGGCCGTACCTGTGCCAAGCACTCGGGCCCCGGCTCCAGCGCGCAGGGAGCTGGAGGGCGCGGGCTGGGGCTGGGAAGGAAATTGGAGTTGAAGTGGAGTGTGCATGAATGGAATTTTAATTCCACGATGAACTCAGTCTAGATTCCAGCTCCTGGAGTAGCCCGGCCCCGCACGGCTGTCTCCCGCTTTCCTACGACACGGACACCGCGTCTTCGGTGACTGAGAGAAACGAAAGCTCTCCTCGGAGGCAGCACCCGGGGACCCTGGCTCCACGTGTCCGGGTCTGGGGTCAGCACGCAACCATATGCAGCTTCCAAGGGCGGAGCTGCCGGGCAGCTGGAGGGGAAGACTTAGGAGCTGCCCGTCGAGGAACATTCTCCGCTTCCTCTCCTTTCTCCTCCTTTCCCTTCCTTCCACCTCCTTTCCCTTCCTTCCACCCTCCCCTCTTCCTCCCTCCCTCCCTCCTCCCTTCCTTCTCTCCTCCCTTCCTTCTCTCCTCCCTCCCTCCCTTCCTTCCCTGCTCCTCCCCTACTCTCTCCCCGAGTCCCAGAGTTACACTGTGCGGCCAATGTTAGGCCTTATAAAAATGGATGTGGCTCAGAGTCTGCCCTTAGGAACGTCCCTTGGGGCCACAGCCACCTCGATGACCCAGCCGCCTGCCCTTTCTTCCAGGCCACTTGCTGTCTCTCTGCTCCCACACATGCACGGCAGACCAGCCCTGCCTCATGCCCAGGGGACCCCGTCATGCCCCTCTTGATGACGGTGCTGCCGGCCCCTCTCCCCCTGTCCTGTCACTGTGGTTGTCGCAGCCTCTGCGTGGCCTTTAGCTCCCATCCCTCCAGCCCAGGTGCGGGCTGTGCCGAGCCCACCCAGTCCCCGGATAAAAGGCACAGGAGAAAATGACATACTGTCATTGTCCTGAGGAACCTAAACAGCAATTAACCAGACAAGAGTCATTCATTTCTTTTTTTTGTTTTGTTTTGTTTTCTGGTACTCACGGGATTGAACTCATGACCTCACGCTTGCCAGGCAGGCGTTGTGCCGCTGAGCTGAATCCCAAGCCCCTCATTCATTTCCTTTATAGCCCTGCAAGAACACAGTGTTAACCTCTGTCCTCACAAGAGGTTGCCTTGTTTGGGACCCTTGGCAGGGACATGCGCAAACGCCAGCTGAAGACTCTCAGGGAGGGAAGGGCCAGTGTGGGAGGAGAGGGGATGGTGGGGTGGGCGAGTAAAGGGCAGGGTCATGGCCCCGGGCTATCCTGCACCTGGGGGATTACTGGGCCTGTAGAATGCGGCGAGCCTGGGCAATATAAAGAGTGCCGTGCTGGGTCTGCAGGTCGCTGAGATAAGCACCAGAGCCTCACCCAGGAGGAATGTGGCTGCTGTGGGCCGTGTCCCTCTGGGCGGCCGGACGGTAGGAGCAGCAGCAGGAGCTCTGGGAAGCGCAGACGGTACCTCAGCTCCGGGTGTGAGAAATTCCACCAGCCGGTCTGGGACGTGAATCATGTTCGGGTTTGGAAAAAGTTGCAGAATCAAAGTTGCTCACAGCAGCCTGGGGCCCACCCAGATGCAGCGGGGGCTGGGCGGGCTGTGCCGGAGACGGCGTGCACGGTCCCCCAGCTGTGCCCTCTGGGGGGCGGGGTGGGTGGCAGAGCTCGGTGGCCACGGCTTCTCCCACCTCACAGTGGCATCTCTGGCTCCGGGCTCTGGAGGAGCTTTAAGTTCTTTCCAGACAGGCCTCCACCGCCAAAGGAAAGCAAGCACACGAGAACCATGAGGTGCAGGGTCACACAGACCTCTCAGCCGCCTGGAGAGACCAGGAGGGAGTGATCGGGGTCCCAGTCCCACAGACAAGGGAAGCCAGCCATCCAGCCACGGTGGCATTTCCCATGGGGAACAGACACCCACTCCTGGGTCCCCTGGGCTCCCTGGGTCCTCTGACTGTCCTGTCCTGCTCTGCGCTGTCACTCTGCACTCCAAGCCCTGCTTGGCCTGTCTCTCCAAGAAGGAAAATGCCCCTTCTGCCTCCACTGAAATGCAGGGGACACAACACTCTGCACCCCAGCACACCTCTGGGTAGGGAGCTGTGCCCCTCTGGATACCCCAAGCAGCGGTCCCGTCCACTGGAAGCTCCACCCGGGTGCAACCATTGCTATGACAGGACAACTAGCCTTCTCTCAGAAGCAAGCAAGCCCCAGGCTAGAGCCACATCAGGGCAGGATGTGCCCCCAGAGGCCCAGGAATGCCTGTCATGTCCTCAGGGTGAGGAGCGGGCACTTTCAGGTGCTCAGGAATACATCTGGGGAAATGCCAGGCTGGCCCCACCCTGGCAAGCCCAGAAGTGATGGGTCTGTCCACTCCAAGATCCAGGGAGGGGACTGATGTCACGGTCCCTCCAGGGGTCTGTGGCAGTGCCCACACAGGAAGCCTGAGGGCAGCTGCAGTGGTCCAGCACGGCAGTGCAGAGTGGGAACCTTCTCACCTGCCCCCATGGCCAGGGTGGACTTGTCTTCTCCGCTCTGTTCGTTTGTAGGAGGATTCCAGCTCTGCTTGGGGACCAGCAGCCGACACTTCTTTACAGAGAAAGAATGTGACGACCAAGCCGAAATGGGGCTGTTTAACTTTCCGAGTCCCCAGGTCCCGTGATCATTAAGTGCCCAAGCTGTTTGATCTGCAGCTCAAGAAGTGGCGGAACTTGGCCAGAGAGTGGCGCTCAGGGCTGACCCCGGGGTGGACCTGTGTGTGTACATGCGTCCGGTCGTCTCGGCCTCCCCTTCCTCATTCCCTCCCTCTGAAGCCCACAGCCCACCCCGCAGCCTGCAGCCCAGCTACCCGCCTGTGTGACGCCTGGGGCATCGTGTGCCTCGGCTGTGTAACCAGGACCCATGCCTTTCTGCTCGTGCCACAGGACTGGCCCCAGTATCCGGGGACTGGGCCCGAACTGGGCTGAGATCAGACCCCGGAATGAATGACGCCCCCCTGGGCACACGGAGAGACCTCCCCACTCATGGAAAACTCGCCTCACGGAGGCCGTGGTTGCTCCTTCCAGGAAGCCGGTGAACACGCTGGCGCTGTTCACTGGTCTGCGACCAGCGGGCTGATGACAATTCCAGACTCGCTGGCACGGGCAGGCTGGGCGCGACAGACGGCGCAGCTCCCCGCTTCCAGGGCCTCATGTTCTGTGTTTTCCAGCCCAGCGGAGAGTGCAGTGGGTGGTGACCCAGACAGAGCCCAGCGGGCTCCAGACCTGGCCCTGGGACCAGGTGCAGGGGGCAGGAGGCTCGGGAGGCTGGGGCCACATGGGGTAGGGGACACAGGAAGTGCGCAGCCCTTGGGATCGGCTGTGTTTGAGCTTTTGGAAGCAGAAAAGCATGATGGGGAGACAGCACGCAAAACAGGGGAATGTAAGCGGGGTGCAGCTGTGTTCCTTCTGCAGGAGAATGGGGGGGGGCAGGACTGGGCCTTCCCAGGCAGTAGCAGGAGGGGCCACACCAAACTGACAGGGGGCGGCCAAGGGGTCCTTCCCTCCTTCTGGGGGACACTCGTGCAGGCTCCCAAAGGCGATCACTCAGGAGCTTTAGCACCAGGAGATGCACAGACAAAAATTGCATTTCATTTTACAGGTGGGGAAACTGAGGCACGCAAGGAGAAATAACCACGCTCAGGTTACATGGACTCAGGTTCTGGCTTCCAGGTTCCTTGCCTAGATCCTTTCCCTTCTCTTCCTAGCGGGCTGGGGGAAGACCCACCGGGCACAGAACAAGTGCTCTTGTAGCCACTGAGCTGAGACAACAAGTGCTGTGTGAAGCACCAGGGGTCCCTGGTGGCCTCCTCGGCTCTGGGGCACTGGGCAGGAGCGGCGGCAGGCCGTCCCGCACAAGTCCAGAGGACAGCGTCACGGCGAGGCCCCCGGAGGGATCCAGGAGTTGTGCTGTGCTTGGTCTGCACAGCCCTCGCGGTGAATGGGCTCTGGCACGGCTGGCCACTTTGGGGCCCTGCTTTGGGGGCCTGCTCCCTGCTAGGGGTCTCCCTTGGGAGAGGTGACTGTTAAAATGTCAGGCCAGTGCAGATGCTGCAGCCTGGGTGCGCAAGCCTGGAGAAGGGGGTCAGGACTCGTCGGAGAGAGGGTGTCCTTGCCCTCGGCTGCCGTGATAGTGACAGGTCTGGGCCGCCCAGGCAGCCAAGCTCCGTCCTGAGGCTGGAAATGCAAGATGGGGGGGCACTCCCAGCCCAGAGCCGGAGAGCGAGCTGGGGTCTCCTCCGCTGAGGGCACTGATCCCATCCCAGAACCCGCCTTTGTGACCTCACATAGCCCCAGTCACCACAAAGGCACTTCTCCAATACATGCCACAGGGGTTCACTTCCACTCAGGAGCGGGGGACACTCGCCTGCAGCCCTGGGAACTGAGCAGGTTAAACCCTCGGGGCACAAGCGGGTCCTCACTCAGGAGGGCAGCTGGGCTTCCAGTCGGGCTGGGTACCTGGGGCTTGAATGGGTGTCAGGGGTTGGGCCACCGAGCCCTTCCTGAACTGGGGGTGTCACTGCCTCCAGGGGTGGCCAGGGTCCTCATGAGGAGAGAGGAAGGGGCCCTCAGGCCCCAGGGAGCTCCCCAAGGACTCTGTACCCCCGGTGCCCCAGTGTTGCCCAGCGGGGTGGCTGGGCTGCTGTGGGTTGAACCAGCAGAGCGGAGCAGCTCCTCGTGTTCCTCCCGTGGGCTCGGCATCCAGCAGCTGAGGTCACTGCAGCCCTGTGGTGCACGACCACCCCAACACTCCTCACTAGCCAGGTTCCCAGCTACCCAGCACATAGCGTCCGTGACAGGGAAGGTCCCAAGGGACGCCACCGACCCCCGGGAGCCATCCCGCCCCAGTGATTGTCCCTAGGGACAAACCTGCAAAGAGACCCTTGTGAACCAGCATGGACCCACTGGGCGGTCCTGACCCCCAGACCCGGGCCACCTGGGAGCCGTTGCATAGGCTTCACACAGACGCGGCTCTTGGGGGACAATACTGGAACTGTCAGGGGAAGACTCAGTCCTCAGGGGACTCCTGCAAGAGCCCCTATTCAATTAGTCATTCAGTGACTCCACACAAACACCATGGAGCATGTTTGATGATAAACTCTGTGCTAAGCACCAGGAAGGCAGAGACGGAGAGACAGAGAGAGAGAGAGAGACCGAGAGACCGAGATACAGACGAACAGAAAGGGGAGGGAGGAGGGGAGGAGGGAGGGAGCGAGGAGGCCCGTCCCACCCCGGGTGGCGAGACGGTCCAGAGAAGTCGCAGGCAGGAGACTGTCCTCGAATCACTGGCCCTGGGCACAAGTGGAGGGAGCAGCTGGGTCAGCAGGGCTCGGCCGGCACAGACCGGACAGCGGGTCCTGAGGGTCAGCACGCTGGAGCAGGATGCGAGGAGCAAGTGGAGGGGCTGAGGAGGCGGGGGGGCTGCCCCCGAGACACCCAGTGAGATGCCTGGCTGGGGGGCAGGGACGCCCTGAGGGAAGGGGGCGGAGGCAGAGCCCTCACCAGGGCTGTCTTCGGCAGGGCCCAGCCAGCTTGGCCTCTCTGTGGAGGAGCCAGGCCCCCCAGGACCTCGCGGCCCCTCACTGGCTGCAGGTCAAGGATGAAGTCAGAGGAGAGGGAGGGAGGCCCTGAGTGGGAAGGCAAGAGGGGAGGAGGGGTAGGCGGAAGGGGAGCCTGGGGCTGCCGAGCAGGGGTGGCGGGGCCCAGTCTCTGCCCACCTGGCTCTTGGAGCCCCTTTTCCGGGTGATTCTGCCCCCAGCTGGCTGCTGCTGTTCTGAGGGTCATCCTGGGAGGGGGAGAGGGAGGAGGGTGGGGACGTGACCTCACCAGAACGTGGAGTGCGGCCAGCCAGGCCTCCAGCCCTGGGACGGACGCTGGGACCACGCATTAGGAGAGCCCAGCTCTAGCAGCCACAGTGGCCCCAGCTGGACCTCAGGACCTCAGGAGTGTCCAGAGGGTCTGCCAGATCCCCATGGCCAGCTGGCCCAGGGCGGGCCCCACAAAGCACCTGTGATACTGTCTGCGTGTGGTGCCCGGGCCCACCCTGAGCTCCGGGTCCTGGGTCCAGGCTCACTCAAGCATAGCTGGGGCCTGGGAGCGCAGGGCCTCATGGCCAGGCTGGGAAGGGCAGTGGGGAGGTCACAGGATGCTTGCAGCGTGAGTCACAGCAGTTGTGGTCGGACACTGCGCTCACGTCCACGGCAGCAGGGACCAGACCCTGGTCGCTCCCCCAAAAGGGGGCCAGGAGGGGCCGACCAGCAGTCACGGCAAAGGCACACAGTGAAAAGCGCGCTCATCGGCTTGGGAGCCCAGCCCCACACACACAGCAGCGCCCAGGCGTGGCAGGGAGTCCTCGCCAGCTCCCCGTCTGGCCGGGTTGCCTGGAGGAGCAGATATAAATAGCTTCAGAACAGGGATTGTTCAGCAGGCAAAGAACATGATTACAGGGACCCGAAAGCTGGTTCTCCAGGCCGGGGAGCCTGTGTTCTCAGGGCCATCGGGCGGCTGACAACAAGCCGGGGTTTGTTGAGCCCGTGGCTACCCAGGCCCATCACAGTGTGTGGGTACTCGGGGTACCCGGTGGGGGGTGAGGCACTGGGAATGTCACCTGCACCCCGATAGATCACTGCACATTGCTGCTCTGGTTTTCAAACAGGAACGACCTTTGCCGTTTTCCTGGGTCTAATTCTAATTCTAGAAGGCACAAGACTGGAATTGCTACTGTAAATAGATTTCTTCATTATCTTGGGGCATTTTTTTTTTTTTTTTTTGCAAAAAGACTAAGAAAAAAACAGAGGAAAGAGTTATCAGTGCTCCCAGTGCCCTGGCTGGGCAGGAGGACAGGCTCAGGACACGGTGGAAGACAAAAGCTGGTGTCCGGCTATCAGCACTCAGTGGTCAATAAGGGCTTGGTGAGGTGCTAAGCCTGGCAGCATTTCTGGGCTTCCCTGGGGCTTGATCACGACTGTGGCTGAGGGACCCGCAGAAGGGCCAACGCCATTGGAAGAAACATCTGTCACTCACAGACCCAGAGAGGCGGGACACACAGTGCCGCTTGGGGCCACCCAGGAAGCACAGGGCGGTCAGAGGCAGCGGGTGAGGGGTGAGCCAACATGACCAAGCGATTCCAGGGACCCTGGGCTAGCAGAGGGGCTCAGGGCTCCAGCGTCTGTGCTGGGCTGTCCTGGGGACACCCAGCCTGGGGTGCGAGAGCCCATGGAGGAGGTAGGGGCTGTTCAAGGCCATAGCAGGCTGGCTGTGTCTCTCCAGGGTGAGTAAGGCCCTGGCTGCCGAAGCGTGAGAGGGACGGCCTAAGAGTCAGCTGGGTACAAGCATAGCAGCACACAGATGGAGTTCAGGGCTCATTCAAGCCGTGAAGGAAGCGAAGTTTAGCAAAGTAAAAGCAAACACAGAAGACGGGAGAAAAGGTTAGGATAAGAAAGTGTGGGCCAGAACCTTTCCTCCCAGGACAGAAAGCCCCCCAGGCAGAGTACACTAAGTTGCCAGCCCCTCCCTCCTGCCGCCTGGGCGCGGAGGGACTTAGAGTCACACAGTGGTGGGTTTCCTGTGAGCTCACTGAGCAACTAGTTTTCTGGAGGCTATATCACACACCCTAAGCCCCAGTTGCTCATTCTAGACCCACAGAGCCCCTGTGACAGATGACCACTGGGTCGCTAGACAAATTCCTCCTCTGTGCTCATCCACGGAAGCCCAGCAGAGGAAAGCAGCCGAGCACCCGCTCTCCAGGGCTCCACCTGGACCCCACCAGGAGCTCTTCCCTCTTATGTTTCCAACAAACACTTCGCCCTTAACCTCCTCTCGATCCAGGACATCATTCTTTCACTCCAGTTACTAAGGAGATGGGGAGGGGTACTCTGGTCCCCTGCAGCGCCGTCTCGAAGCTGACCTCTGCCTGCCCCCTGGGCTCTCCCGGTGCCCAGAGCTCCTTCCCACCTCCTCAAGGGCCTCTTCTCTCGGCCCCTGCCTGGCTTCCACTGCTGCTGACATGCTCTGGCCGATCCGGTGACCCACATCGGCTGATGGTCTCCATTCCCGACCCCGCGGCATCCCCTCTTCCTGGGCCCTGCACCTGTGACCGAACTGCCGCACCTCTGCTCCCCTGTCTGCTTCATCCCCTGGCCTGTGTCTCCTCGAAGAACCTCGGCTCTTTCTTCTGCCCAAGCCTGAGGCAGGGTCATCCCTGTGTCCAGAAGCCCCGCCCCATCCTCAGCACGCCAAGCTCACTCACATGGCAGTCCCTTTCCCACAGCGCTGGCTGACCTAGCCCGTGGGCTGTGACCACAGACCGCTTCCCACCCTCCTGTCTCCTCCTCCTGTCCCTCCTCCACCAGAGCAGAGCCAGCCTCCCGGGCCATGCTGAGACCTCGGGCTGTGCCCAGCCCTGAGCCGGCAAGCAGCGTCCCGCCCATAGCTGGGCGCCTGTCTCGCTGGCCTCACACTGCTCCCGGACTCTACAGGCTCAGCTGTGGCTCTGTGGCCCTCAGGACCACCACAGACACACGCTGCTGACCCGTGCCCCGCGCTCCTCCGGGGCCTGCTCTGCGTCCCTGCCTCTGGGCTTCGCAAGCCCTCCCTCTGTACCTCGCCTCGCCCCTGACCAGGAGTGGCGGAGCTGCTACCCTCAGCCGGGTCCTTTCTTCCCGCCCCACCTCTTGGTCTGTCTTGACTGTTTGGTCTGCCTGTCTGTCATCCATCAGTTGCATCCCTGGCACCTCCCAGAATGTCCTGAACCCCCAAGTGGGCGGGAACCTTGGGAAGGGAGCCCCTTCCGGTCAAGACACCCGCTCTGCCGGCGAGTCCAGCCTGCTCCCCTCCGAGCCCTGGGATCCAGCACGTTAGAGGCAGCACCTTGTCTGATACTGTGTCTTGCCCAACAGAGAGCCACGGTCCAGACAGAGGAAGTCGAATTTTTTTTGTTTTTCTCATTTAAACATTTTTAATGAGTCCACGTTTGCAGTACGTGGTGATGGCACTTTCCCTGGAGGGTTGGCCGAGCGCGTAACACAGCTGCCTTCTTTTTCTTCCCTCCCTCTGCCTCCCGCCCCTCCATCTCTGGGTCTCCTTCCCGTCTGCGAAGATCCATCTCCCCGCGTCCTGCCATCTGCTGTGTAGGGACAACCACGGAGTTAGGTGAAATAAACTGACACCCAAGCTTAAATATTGCTGTTTGTCTTACAGGAGAAACCCAAAGCACAAATAACATAAAGAACTAAATAAAAAATAAAGTAAAACATGAGAGGAAGTCTTTTCTGAGGGCTGGATTAGGTGTCAGCAAGAGGAGACCAAGCTCAGCCCGCGGGGGCCAGGTGGGGCCCCCTCCCCCCACAGCGAGAAGGAGCGCTAAAGGGAGCTCAGGCCCAGCCTCGTGGCTCCCCAGGGACAGCATGACCCGTGAAGCTGCCTGGTGCCGCCCACTCCTGGGAATTGTCGCCCGAGAGGCACCTGCAGCCGCACAAGGCCGGTGCTTGGGTTCCTCCGCTGGTCCGGCCGCCGCCTCCCTTGCTCCGCTGCTGCCTGCAAGGGGTGGTAACTGGGTCTGCAGGTGCTGTGGGGCCAGTAAATCACCCAGAAGGAACAGGAGAGGCCAGGGGGCGGGCACCAGAGCTGTCCCCCGAGCCCAGCACTGCGCAGCTGCCCACCGAGCACCTGCAGGGGCCCAAGGTGGCGTCACCGGTGTCTCCGCACAGGCAGGCTGCCCCGGGGTACCTGCACTGGAGCCCCAGCTCTGGGCTGCTTCCTGCAGCAGGCTGTGCGCTCACTCCCGGACCCCGTAACTGGGGCGGCACTCTGGAAGAGGAGCGGCTGCCTCGTCTCAGGTGTGCCGCCGCAGCACGCCCATCCCACTGACCCCAGCGCTCGGTCCAGCCCAAGCACCGTGGACCATCTGGGTCCTGCCAGCCTGGGGGACACTCCCTGCCTATGACACTAATGACACCAAATGCCCTTCCGAATCATAGGGCTCCCTGCGGACACACCGAGCAGGGTGCACCAGGGCAGGCTGGCCTACTCTCCACTGCTAGCCTCCATACCCCACCCTGTCCACCCCAGTAACCTCAGAGACCCCCCGACTCAGGGGGACGCCCTGGTCTCCCTGAGCCTCGACTTCCTCCCTGGAACAGGGGTGAGGGTGGTTCCCACAGGGCTGTGGGGAGCAAGCTCAGGACGCAGGGTCACAGTCACCGCTGCACACACGAACACCTTCCTCCAGGCCCCGAGCCTCGCACACTCACCACGGGCGCCAGGCAGGGCTGCGGTGCCCCGCGTGTGGGCCACACTCCCTCTTCCAGGTATGCCACTGTGCAGCAGCCTCGGGCCCGGCCCCTGCCTGGCCCTCTCTCTCCTCGCCCTTCCCTCCTCTCCAGGAGAGCGCTGGGAGCCGCCTCTCTTCACACAGGACCCCTGCTCTGCCAGTCCTCTGTTTACAGGGGTTTCTGAGCCCTGGCCAGGCTCTCTGGGGACACAACAAGAGCAGCAGTGAAATCTAGCCGGTCCTGTCAAGGGTGGCCAGGGCTGGCAGCCTATGGCAGGGGCCAGGTTGTGTCTGGCCGTGAGCAGCTGGGCAGTGGACACTGAGGAGCGGCAAGAAGCTCTGGTAGTGGACCAGCTGCCCAGGGACTCCCAGGAGAGGCTGTGTGTCCCTGTGTCAGCTGTCCAGACTGTGCCTCCGCCTCTGCAGTGGAAACCTCCTCTGACAACTCCATCCCTCTTGGATGTGCAGGGTGGCCCCGGGCAGAGTCCCTGCCCAGTGTGGGGGACATTCTTGCATCAGGATGGGCAGTCAGGCTGGGCTGGGGCAGCAGCAGCAGAGCGCACAGGTGATGGGGTGCAAGGAGAGCTGGGAGGTGCTGGGGAGTCCCGGCAGGCGTGTGAGCTGGGAAAGGGTCAACCAAGCCCTTCTTGGGGACAAATTGGCAGGAACGTTATGTCCTGGGATCATCTTGCCCCTTCCCAAGGGCCCCCACATCCCAGGGCTGCCCACCCAGAAAGAGGGTTGAAAGGGTCACCCCAGGGTCTTCGGGGGAGTTGACACTGCCTACATCTAAGCTCCGTGAAGGTGCCAGAGCTGGTGACCTGGGGTACAGCCGCTGTGTGTGCTGAGGGCCAAGCCCTCCCGGGCACCCTCCGTACTGCCTCTCTCAGTGGCAGAAGGTGGGGGTGCATGTGGGGCTGAGTATTGTTCTGCACCAGAAAAAGCCCCTGGAGCCCCAGGGCCAGTGGCAGGGGCGCCCAGCCGGACACAGATTCTATGGGAGATGAGGCCACCGGCCTGCACTTTTGAGGCCCCCAGGTGCACGGAACTCTGTGTAGCCACCAGTGTGAAATCTTCCACCACTGTCACCCCCGGCCACGCCTTGGGCCGCCCCCTCTCCTCCCCAAGCTCTGGCCCATCATCTCACACCCCCATGCCTCTCCTGTCACTAGCAGTGAGATGCCAGGAGGCCCAGCACCAGGGAAGTGAGGGGGTAGGTGTGGAAGGCTGGGTAGTGTCCAGTCAAGAAGACCATTACAGGTACCCCCCCATGGGGGACACATTCCAAGACCCAGGGGATGCCAGAGGCCATGGGCTGCCCTAAACTCCACAAGCGCCAAGTTTCTCCTGCACGTATACACCAGGGCGACTGCTGACCTATAAACCAGGCAGGAGAAAATAGATCGGTAACAACAGACTGCAATACAGGTATGTGAATGTGGCCCCTACTCTGCCCCCAGACCCTAAGGTTTACCAACTTCAGTAGTCTTTTCAAACAATCAGCACTTAACTTTATTGATCCATGTTATATTTGTATTGGTGGTCACTGATTTCTTTCTTGTCTTTTTTCTTGCTTTTGCCTTAGTTTACATTTTTAGCTTCTTTTGATAGATATTTAAATCACTGATTTTCAACTGTTTTTCCTGTCTTACAAGCTTTTCAAGACGATAGCTTTACCTCTATTACAGCTTCAGCTGCATCCGGAGATGTAAAACTGTCACGTTATAATTCATTACCAGTTCAAAATATTGATTTTTTTTCTAAATATTTTTTAATTTCCATTTTTATTTTTCTTCTTACCTATGCTGTTTTTGGAAGTATATTGTTTTATTTCCAAATATTTAAAGATTCTGCAGTTGTCTTTTTATTATTGATTTCTAGGTTAATTCTACTGTGGTCAAGAAACATATTTTATGTTCTTTCTCAGAATTTTGTTTAAATATGACTAATAGCCCAACTTATTATTGATTTTGGTCAATAATCCAGGTATGCTAGAAAAATGGTTTGTATTTTGCAACAATTAGGTGTAGTTTTGTATATGTCAACAAAATCGTATTTATTAATTATATTATTCTAAGTATTTATTTCCATAGTGAATTTTCTGTGGGCATGTCTGTAAGTCACTGAGAAAGGTGTATTCAGATCTCTCACTCTGATAGTAGATTTGTTTGTTCTGTTTTATGAATCGTTGCCTTACGTGTTTTGAAGGTAGATTGGTAGGTGCACACAAATTTAGAATGGTATCTTCCTAGTGGAATGTGACCCTTTAACACTGAAAATTGCCCTTGATGTCTAGTACTGTTTCTTTATTCTTATATCCACACAGTCATGGAAGCTTTGTTATAGTTAGTATTTGCCTGATATATCTCTTTCCATGCTTTTGCCTTCAACTTTTCGGTATGCTCATATTTTGGTACAAATCATTTTAACAGGATAGAGTGGTTCTGTTCTTTTACCCAGTATGAGAAATACTGGCTTATGTTTGGAGTATTTTTTTGTGTACACTCACATACAACACCACAGCACCTCATTCAGTGGTGGATCGC